ACTCTTGCTGTGTTTCTCATTTGTGTTCTCCCATACAATTTATCTCATGTAGTGGGTTTCATTCAGGGTCAAAGCCCTAAATGGAAGTACTACACCTTGCTTCTCAGCACATTAAACACCTGTATTGATCCCATCATATTTTATTTTTCCTCTTCAATCTTCCACTGCACAAGCAGCAAATCTATTTTCAGAAAGAATTTTATCAAAGTTGTAACGATGGAAATTCAGGGAGCAAATTCAAACTAAAAGTGAATTCATTTTTCTAATGGTGAACACAGAAGTTTATAACGATATATAACTTTTATTAGAAAAACTTTTAAGTTTCTTGATTAACCTAGTCTGCTGTGTTAAGATAATTTATCTTTTTTATCATTTACTATGTTTTAACTATAAAGGATGATTCACCTTTTCATAAGAAAACAACAAGACTGCTATAATTTGTAGAATCTTGGAAGCTGTTAGTTTAAACCTTGAACATTAATTATTCAGCACTGAGTTATTTTCCTCTGTTATAAAGCCAGTAATCTGTTTCATACTAATACAATCTGTCGACTTATATGTATAATTTATATGTAGTTAACAAGCATTATTCATTTTATTTATTAAGTTATTCATTTTACAATCAAACTGAAATGTTGAAATCACAAAATTGTGTTTTTATTATTGCTTGGATGTGAAACCAGTTTCCTGAATGATTAGTCATAATAATCAAATGTTTTTTAGCAACTGAAATTTATCAATAAAAAAATAAAAAAATAAAAATAAAAAATAAAACAACAGCTGCAACTAAGTTTTTTTTTTCTCTGAATAAACAACATACCTGAGTAGCCTTCTGACTGCCACCATAATTTTTTATTTTTTATTATTGGTTTGATGTAAATTCGGTTTCCTGAATAATAAGTCATAATGTTCAAATGTTCTGTGGCAACCAAAATTTATAAATAAATAAGAAATAACAACTGCAACTGAGAGGTTATTTTTTCTCTGAATTTTACAGAGCTGCATTAATTCTAAGTAATATGTATTACATTTGTAAAAGCCTTTGCTTTTTGTTTGTGGATCCTGCTTCAGCTTTGAGAACAGGCGGTTGTGACCAGATCATGTCTAAGCGATTAGGTACACAGCGTTTCAGTCTACTTTGAAAAGTAGGAATTTTCTGTTTCCAGGCATCCAAGATCATCCTTGTTTTGTTCAAAATAGAGCTGTGGCATCTCAGAGTGACATAGTCTGAGAGGTAGGGGTAAATCTACAGGGGGCAACTGCTTAAGATAACCAAACTACTAATAAACAAGCTGGAAATATAAATCATCTTGAACAGCGTATTGTAAACCTTAGCAATGCATAGCAATAGCAACATAAAAGCACAGTGTTTGTTAGCAGGCAAATGTGCTGGTAAGCAAACCTATATTAGATATTGGCAGTGGTTAGTGTGGTCATGCAAATTTAAACTCTTCCTAGTAAGACAGTAAGGATTAGATGGCAGCACTTAGAGCCATCAGGACCCAGAAGATCATTGGCCACCTCAAAGAGTAAATTACTTCCCCACAGGCATCTACAGATCTAACATCATCCCAGAAGGTGACAGGAAGGCGTGATAGAGCATAGTAAATACCCAACAGCTCAGTGGTCCTATAGCTACCCCCACCGGGCACCACAAGAGACATGGTAGACTGGTTTGGCAAACACCAAGTACCTTGCAGAGTGTAGATCTGGCCCAATGTTCCTCAGCCGGGACAAAAACCACACTGCTCCTCTTGAAGCTGAGGTTTGACAATCAACCAGACACTCCTCTCCAGCACCCTGGCATAGGCTTTCCCAGGAAGGCTGAGAAGAAAGATACCTCGATAGTTGGAGCACATCTTCCGGTTCCCCTTCCTATACAAGGGAACGATCACCCCAATCTGCCAATCCAGGGGCACCGTTCACCAACCTCCACATGATGTTGAAGGAGCATGTCAGCCACGACAGCCGGACAACATCCAGAGCTCTAAGGTACTTGAGGTAGATCTCATTCACCCCTGAAGCCTTGCCACCAAGGAGTTTTTTATTGCCTTGTTGACTTCTGCCTGTGCAATAAAAAGATACATCCCTAAGCATTGCGTTCCATGATGTAGGGTATCTCAACGAGATTGAGGAGATCCTCGGAGTGTACTTCTAATGTCCAAATACCTTTTTCAAGGTCAGCTGCTCCCCACTCCTATTGAAAAGTGTAAGCTAAGCACTGCTTCCCCATCTGAAGATGGATTACCAGAATGACCTCGAGGCCACATGATAGTCTTTCTCCACAATCCCCAACCCCACAACCTGGTATGGGGATTGCAGCTACAAAAGGCACAGAAGACCTTATGGCCACAGTTACGGGCAGTCTCATCGACAATGGAGGCAATGAATATGGTCCACTCACACCTCATGTCTCCAGCTTTCCATGGAATCTGGGAGAAGCTCTTGCGGAGGTGAAAGTTGAACATGTTCCTGACCAAGGGCTCCACTGGAGGAGCAAAGACTGTCTGGCTTCCTCTTCTTCCAGCGTATGGAGCTCACCAGGAGGTGATTGTGAATATAAAACTAAAATAAGAAACAAAGTTTTCAAATTATAACAGCTAACAAAATTCCTAGTCCAAGTAGACCTACCAGGACTTATCAATTCTAAAAAAAAATAAATAAAGAATGAAGGTTTAAGCAGATAAAGGGTGTTCCAAAAAAGCAGAGCAGAAACACAACAATGAAGAAACAAACAAGACAGGCAATGGGAGGCCCAGACAGAGGTATATGGAAAAGAGTTCAGGCCAGTGAAATGGAATCCATCACAATGAGGCCATAAATTATGTTAAAGCCTGGCTTACACTGTGCGATTTTTTTGCTCTTTTCAGTCCAACTTTCCAGTCGTGCCAGAATTTTTTGTTGTTAAACAGTTTTTTATTGAGGAATCATACATGAAAATTGAAACATCAACAATACACATCTGTCCTCTTTTTTATGTGAACAAAAAACATAAAGACAATACAAAATCAAAACCAAACAAAAGTTACCTAATTAAACAAGAACATTCTCAATCTCCCCCCACCCCCACTGAAGATTGGTTATGAACAGTAGGATGTGCCAGAATTTTTTGATCCGGTTGCCTTTCAGCCTGATTGTGTGTCCTGCGTCGTGTAGTATACAGGGGGTAACGAAGGGCGATCTCACGACCACCTCCCGATCAGCAATCATAAGGTCGGGAGAAATTCAATCATGTTTGATTTTCAGTCAGCCGTCGTGGTAAATAGCTCAGAGGGCATGCACAAACAAGTATTTTTCTTCTTCTTCTTCCTCTCAGATCAAAACACAGAGCCATTGCAGGGGTGCAATTGAAATGGAGTTATTTCTGTAAAACTGATAGACTGTAGTAGCCACACTTGCTCAGCCATGTCTTGTTGAAATGTTGAAAACTAATCAAGTCACAAAAGGAGAGTCTACATTACCCAAATAACATCATACTTACACTACATGGTGAATCTTCAAAATAGAGTTCAACTCAATGTTTCTGCTGCATTTTGCACCATATTTATTGATTTATTTTTGCACTGCTCTGAACCTTCCACATCCAATGCCTTTAGTGGCTATGGCTCTCCTCCACTGTTTACACTTTGATCACTGCTATACGTGTAAGTCTATGTCTAAGTCATAACACATCATCTTAAGGCATATTACATAGACAATTCCAAAAGGTCATATAGTCAGATTAGTTCAAAGTTTTTTCTACTAAGAAAAACCAGCTGATAGCATCGACTTAGTGACTCAACAGCATCCCTCAAATCGAACATGTGTGTAGCAACAGTGGAGAGGAAGAACATCATGAAAAAAGCAGAAAGAGGTTCAGTGTGTATTGCCCTCTGCCTAGGCTGGCTGGGGTTCAAGGAGACAAGCAGACATACAAAAAGCAGGTACACAAAGGTTACTGTAACTGTTAAGTACCTCCACAGATGGCAGTCCAGGGAAATACACAACCAAGCAGACAAGCTCTGAGCTAGTTCACATGTCAGACGATGAAAGAGAGAACATATTCAGTCACAGTAAAAGACACAGGATAAGAGTAAAAGCAAGCCCAACTCAAAAATCCGTAAACAAAGTTGCTGGAGGCAGAAGCCTTTCTGATATTTATATCTGGGATGGTGTCACAGCCAAACAGGAACAGTCCAGATGAAGCTATTACTATGAGAATAAGCAAAGAGACCATAACATCCTCTGACAAACAATCAAACTGTACTGTGTACGATTTTTTGGACTGGTTGCATATTAGTATGAAGTAGCAACCCCAAGATGCATATTTTTTATTTAGGATATGTCATCATTATACAAAAAGGGGGGGTTTGTAGCAGACTCCCCTATGTGGCTATCTTACAGTACGTGCTCGTTCCCTCGCAGCTTTTTATAACACGTAGTGTGTGTTGATAATGATCGAAGCTATGAATCATCACATCCTTTTATGAATTGCTGCTTCCTGTTGATATCATTCCAACTCATCATAGAACTAAGTCATAACATTTCTATAATTTTCAAAGACAACTGTGTGGGAAACTTGACATTAACAGCTGCATTTGGTGAGTACACGTCTTTATCTTGTAAATGAATAAGTGTTGAGTTTTGTGTTATGAAAACATATATATGCGTTTTAGACTAAAAACTCCCCTTTAGATAATCTTGTTCAATTTCTTTTATTAAACTCAGTCAACATAAAGAAAAATACAAAGTCAGTCAGGTTTCCAATTGTAGCTGGAAATGTATTAAGATGAATAGAATACAATACAATAGAGTACATTTGTTTAATTTTTAGGAATAACGCCCAAGAAAAATATTTTAGTCAGTATGAACAATGTTCTCTAAAAAAATCCCTTTGGCAATATATTATACAATGTTATATTTTATATTTTGACATATTCTATTTTACTACTTTCAGAAGCAAGATGGAGTCAGTGGTGAGAAGTGAAGTTATTCTCTCATTTTACATAATTTCCTTTGTGATGGGCCTTCCTGCCAATCTAGTGGCACTCTGTGCTTTTAGCATTAAAGTCCACAGAAGTCGGCTTCCATCAGACATCCTGCTACTGAATCTGACTGTGTCTGACCTGCTCTTCTTAATCACGCTTCCTCTTAAAATGCATGAGGCGGCATCAGGGATGAAGTGGACTCTGCCCAGCTTCTTGTGCTCCATAAACTCCTTTGTATTCTTCTCTACGATCTACACCAGCTCCTTGCTGCTGATGGCAATCAGTGTGGTTCGCTACATAGCTGTTGCCTATCATATGACTTATCAACGACTGCAAAAAACATTGTACCCGATCATTATCAGTGCTGTTACTTGGCTGATCTCAGCTGCACACTGCAGCATTACTTTCATTGTCCAGCACCATCCATCCTTGTCAAACTCAAATTCTTCTGTATGCTATGAGAATTTCACAGAGAGGCAGCTGGAGGTTCTCCTTCCACTTCGTTTGGAGTTTTTCTTTGTGCTGTGCCTTGTGCCTCTTCTAGTCTCCATTTACTGCTATCTGCGATTGATTTTGATTCTATACAGCCGTCCCACGATATCCTGGATGCAAAAGAGGAAGGCTATTGGGATGGCTTTGGGAACTCTTGCTGTGTTTCTCATTTGTGTTCTCCCATACAATTTATCTCATGTACTGGGTTTCTTTCAGGGTCAAAGCCCTAAATGGAGGTACTACACATTGCTTCTCAGCACATTAAACACATGTATTGATCCGATCATATTCTATTTTTCATCCTCTATCTTTCACCTCACAAGCAAAAAATCAATTTTCAGAAATCTTTTTTCATTAAGGTGAAAAAAACAATAATTCAGAATTATAATTCAAAGGCGATGTTCATTCCCTCCCCACATGATGTGCTTTAATTGTCAACGGGAAGCTGTTGACAATTAACTACATTTTAAGAATACACTTGTAAAAACAACAATTATTAACAACTGTGATTAACCTGAAGTATATAGAGCAAATATATAGAGAGGAAAATTATAAATGTGTATCTTTGGTAATGGCCTGTGACTGGTTTGATATAATATCATTTATATTTTTTGTTGAATTACACTTTAATAAAGACTTTCTCATGTGACTTTTTCATAGTCACACGACTTCATAGTGAAGAAGGTACCTTGATCTTTAATGGCTGTAGTAATTAATAATCTCACAATCATTTGTGGCTTGTAATGGAATTAATTTTGTGTTAACTTAGTTTGGCATCTGTTAGTTAAATATATTTTTCTTTTGTTTTGCTTTGCTCTCTAACAAAAATATTTACCATTGCAATGTCCTTCATACAGACAATGGTGTAGATCATGAAGGACACCCATGGGACTTGAATCTGTATTGTTATTATAAACAATTCATCTAATAAAGTCAGCTTTATTTAATCAGAAACCTGCTCAAATGTAATACTTGATGGTATGTGGAACCTTGAAAGCACATTTACAGATTCTAATTATCTGAAGCCTCTGACAGATAGGACCCTGCAGATAAATACAAAGTAATAATAAGGTAAAATCCTAGCACATAAGCTAATCAGACATCAGTTAAACCATACATGTTTCTAAAAGGATATTAACAAGCCAGCTACTGAAACCTGGCTACCAGTAAGCCAAGTGGTTGTGGGATGTGAATCTTACTTCTGAACTTCTTTGCCACCCTGCTTTGTTTTGTTGACTCACTTGGTTTCCATCGCTTCTCCTATAGACATGAATTAATTCTCATTGTGTACTTATTTTGCAAATACACAGTATTGTATCGCCGGTCACATTACATTGTTATGGAAATGTGCAAAAAAAGTACAAATTTTTACTAATAAAGAGAGCTAAAATAAAGTACTAAGCACATAAATAATAAGAAAACAGAAGACATTTGTAACCAAAGTCAACTAAATAGTACATGACTACGAGGACCCATTGAATCTGAGCTCAATGAGGGGAGAGGCAGATTGTAGAAGAAAAAAATTAGACAATTAAAATACACTGGAACATTTTAGGCAAATGTTTTTTTTATTACTTAGATTTACTTGATAGTTTGAATAATAAGCTACTTGTTTAAATTAGGTTTAAAAAAACAAACGTGTCTCCTGCTGTTGACTCCAGCCTACATTGTTTTATAGACTGTAAAATCCTCTATTCATCAAAGGTTGATAAAAGTTTATTTTTAAACCCTTGCAAAGGGTTTAAAAATAAACTAAAGGGTAAGAATTTAACATTTTTTTGTTTACCATTATTAAAAATATATATAAAAAAAAAATAGAGCCTGAAATTAATTACTTTCATTCCAGTAAGCAAATTTGCCCTCAATATATTATCTTTTTATTAAAGAATTCAGGCATTGCTTTGTGGTGGATTATACTGATATGAGTGATATGTTGTAAGAGTCTTTGCATTTTACAATGTTTGGGCATCAAGAATGAGCAATTAATTTCCTACATTCTAATGAAACAGCTATGACTCGTCTTTAAATAATCTTTGCTTTGTTTCGTTATTCTTCCTAAGAATCATATTTGAGTTGCTGGTAAGAAGTGATGTTATTTTTAGTATGCATAATTTGCTTGCTGATTAATTTAGTGCCAAGATCCCCTTTAAACCTCTTCTGTATTCTACTTCTGCTGGATTTGATCCTGTCTAATCTATTCTTCATTTTTCTTCTTTATATGCATAAGGCAGCAATGGTACACTAGTATAAATTTAATCATCCAAAACTTTCTCGCTTTAAGTTGTACCTCATACCATTTTTATTTCCATTTACTGGTAACTGCCCAGATACCCAGGATGCAGCACAACAGGAGAGTTGGCATGACCTTAGGAACTTGTGCTGTGTTCTTCATTTGTGCTCTGCCCAAAAGCTTGTCCTAATTAATTGGGATTCTTGTGGATGGAGGATCTACCCTCTGCTTCTTAGACTATAAAATGCCTGCCTTTCATTCTCCATTGTAAAATAATCTGTAAGCTTTTCTTAATCTTAATTTAACTAAAGAGTAAAACAAAACCTTACCAATGTAAGCCTAAAGATGAGTATTGGAGCTTTTATTTACCTGGATATTTAAAAATGTAATGTTTTTTATCTCAAACTCTTGTTGACCCATGTTTACAAAAAACACATCATATTTCCGATAAATTCTTCAACATTTTATTAGTGTTCAAAGGTTGTCCATTGTTATGTCAGTTTTTTGTTTTCTCGCTTTGACATGTGATTTCTTGTTTGCATTAACGCGGGCCTGCCACTCTTCTGCACTCATGCATTCTGTAGGCACACATGTAGAATATACCTGTGAAAAAACATTAAACATCAACTGTAAAAACAGAATCATTTATTTTACTGAGACAGTTGCTCAACACACATGCAAGCAAAGAAAAAGTTTCTGTTAAAAACAGCATAAAAGAAGTGTCCATTTCACTGTGTGTATGTACATGCTTTATATCTGTCATGTGGGAGAGCTCTGGATTCAAGCCTTCACTAGGTGCTACGGTGATCAGATGTCATAATTTGTGTGGGACAGTTGAACTACGGTACCTAAAGAGGCCAGCTACAGGTGTCTTTCAGACATTTTTAAATTTGGCACGAAGGGGATGCTATGTAAAGCAATGCTGTAAAATTGACTCTCAAAAGAAACGTAGAGCTGTAAAAGCCAGTGCTGTACTGCATTGTCCCTCATAAACATTCTAGTTGTCGCACATTTGTTTTGGGTATTTGTTTAGATATGTTCACCCTACAAAGACCACCTGAGCCTAGTCATATCATACTATAAAGACACAGCTGCTACAGCTTCAGTGCCTGCTTGTTGACTAAACTAGTAGAGATAACAGATTTGTGGTGTGGTGTGGCTAGGTTTACTTTTAGTTTGATTAGATATGTAATTTTTTATTTCTCCAGTCTTTATTGCATGAAGGATAAATAAACATGCATAACCCACACATCTTATTTACTGAAGCTTATATGCTATCCTATAAAATGTGGTGGTTGATAAACATGCAGTGTTTCCTATATTTCATTACCACACTAGTTGAGCTTTGAATAAAAAAAACTATGCAAATGTCTGTGTGAAGTTATCTCTTTGGGAACCCTGTTGTCTCATTTTTTATAAAATATTCCTTAACTGCATTAAGTTCTACAAGCAGAGCAGTGACATTTATTTTCTTTCTTTTTTTTTTTTTTTTTTTGGCTTGGTCTATTTACCTTTGGTTGTACGTTTTTCTGTCGGATCTGTTTGTATCAATAAACATTCATGTTTTCATAAATATGTGCACCTCACAAACATGATGATTAATAATTTCTACATTCTTTATCTCTTTGGTTCATTCAGTTTAGCTTAAGCTAAGTTATGTTTTTGTAAAATCGGTTAAATAAAAACATTTTTTTTTCTTATTTTCTTAAAATTCGGGTGTAACAGAAATAAGGTCTCTTGCTGTTTTTCTGAAGTAGAAACTCACTGGAAATTCTGTAAAGTTTGGTTGGTGTATAATTGATTCAATAGTATTATATGTATTATTGATTATGATACATGAAACTGGAGAATGTAAAGTGTAAACTGTGTTTATAAAAATGGCGTTGTCAATTTGACTGAAAACTTATAAACTTGTTACTAATAGGATAATATTGTTGTCTGTGTGAAATACTGGCTACGGTTTTGAAAGCTACACATTTATCTTTTTTATTATTATCATCACTAAGATGTTTCATCAAATATTGTCAACTTGAAAGAGTTAACAAACCTGCAAAGAAGGTCATGAGCAGTGCCACCCAGCCTAGTATATAGGACCAAGAGAAACGCCAGTCACCAAAACGCTTTCCAAGGAAGTTCACTGTCACCCCCGTGTAAATGGCCATTGCAAGCAGAACAAAGAGAGCTGTTGTGAAGACAAAGAGTGACTCATCATAACAGGCTTATCAAAAATGATTATGGTGTCTTCATTTGGATGTTACCTAGCAACTGTTGGTCAAAGCTGTAAATTTGGTTGCTGTATTTTGAATTCTAACTAAATCCTCTGATAAAGGCAGTGTTATACCATATTCTGTGATGGCTTATTGTGTTGATGACTTACTGGAGACGAAGAACATGATTCCTGCAGCAAATGAGCGGTTGAACCTCTCAAATGCAGAGAAGTGAGCAAAGGACAGGATTCCTGCGATGATGCCAGCAAAGCAGGTCATGGCGGACAGGATCATGAAAGCTCGAGTGGCATTCCAGTAGGCTAAGGCGAAAAAGGACAAGCTTAAGAAAGGATCCATATAAGTTGCATATAAAAAGTATCCATGTTTGATTAACCAGATGGTTCCTTCTATAAACGTTGTGATCTAACAACACCCTATGTGTTTATATGGGGAAATTCAAAACTATTGTTTAAATAAATAATACATTTCGTGCATTTTTTTCATCCTGGTGGAAAAACTGTGGGTGCATTTCAAACTGTCACCTAAATCATTTTAGAAATGTTAAATTTAATACTTTTCTTCTTTGGAATATCTACACTTTAGAAGGGAATAGTTATTTATTTATAGTCAGGGTCATAAAATAATTTACATTATTGTTAATGAAGCAGATTGTACAGAGCATACAAATCGACTAAAATTCAAAGATTTGGTTGACTTTAAAACTGCTCAATTCATGTACAGAATAAAGAATAATTGTTTTTTAGTTCATATGCAGGGTCTGTTTTTGATCAGGGACAGTGCTTATGATCTTAGAGGGTATAAAATATTCAGAAAACCAAAACCAAAAGTAAGAATGTAAAACAATGTTGTATTTCTTTTGTTGGGAGAGATTAATAAGGTTTAAAAACATTCTAAGAATAATATGATTAAACATTATGCACTATGTGAATGTAATTAATAGCAGTAACATATTGACTGTACTACCTTTTTTCAAAATGCTATCGTAGAATAATTGTTTCCTTACTATCATATTTTGGTATGTATTATAAAATGTAGCCATTTTTTTTTTCTAGTCCAATATAACCTGGTTTTGGAGGGCGGGCATTATAAGCTTATTGCTTCTGCCAATACAGCGTTTTCAGACTTTTCTTAAAACTTATGTAACCAGGACTAGGGATGCATGATATAATCGGCCCCCTATCGGTATCGGCCTGTATCGGCCTTAAAACTGAATATCGGACATCGGCCACCCCACCGATATTTAACCCGATATTTGATCAGCTTCTGAGTTTCTAAGGNAAAATATATTTGAGTATATTATTTTTCAAAGTGTCAGAAATGGATAACAAAACTGCTATTTTCAATGAATACTTATTTTTGTTCAGCTTTAACATCGGTATCGATAACGGTTATCGGCTACATGAGTTTTAAAATATCGGCATATCGGATATTGGCCAAAATCCCAATATCATGCATCCCTAACAAGGACATATACTATCATTTATTGTATATTTTCTGTGAGTGTCTGAAATAAAGATGAAACCTCAGAAATCATAAAAGTTGTCTTATATGACCTATCCCTGTAGGTGTTACTGGTCGTTTTAATTTGATGCTCTGCTCTTTAAAAAAGCTTTAATTATTGTCTTCCTGATTGAAATAGTTAATATAAAAAAACATATTCTCTTGAACTCAGCACAAAGGTAGAAAACAGAAAACCTTCGAAGACAGCACAGCTTAGCCTAATGAATGATGAGAAAATCTTTTAAATCTTTTTTTTTTCGTAAAACTTACCGTACATAAGCTTGTTAACAGGAAAGCTGTTATTCTTTTTTTTTTTAGTAAGCCATATTTTTTTTCACAAACTAAATAACTTTATTTTCATCCAAAAAAAAGTTGTGAAATGTTTTTTATTAAAATCACACTATAAAAGTAAGGAGGATAAATCAAAGCATTCTAGGGAATTCAATTAGAACTCTCAACTCACCGATGCTGTCGGTCTGCATGTAGCATTTGCCAGACATGCAGTACCTCCATAGACCCTGGTGGGCAAAGCTGCCTGACAGGCGGTACTGCATCCAGTAGTCTGTTGCTGTGGAGACCACCAGCAAGATGTTCCCCACAATGGCACAAAACAGGCCCCCTCCCATGAAGCTGTACATCATGAGTGAAACTAAGATGCCGGAAAAGGCTTTATGCACTGCAAGAAACAAGGGACAAATATGGAAGTTGATTGTAAAAGTGCACCTGGTGTCTAATGTGTGGATTTAAGTCAGACACATCTTACAAATTTTATTACTGAAGAATCACGCTGATTGACCCAAACAGACTTGTTCCTTGGCTGATATGCAAATATGGCTGAAGCTAAACTTCCTCTGCCTAAGTGAACAATAATACAGAGGTCATAGTGTTTGGGGAAACTTACCAGCTGATAAGATATTACAGCACTGTTGGCTAATTTGGATTATCTGACTGTTCTTTGTGTAAGGGTAATTATGGTTATTTTAACACCTGAAATTTGAAAGAAAGGTCAGAGCACATTTCTTCCTTGTGATCCCATTAAAAAAAGCAATTGGTTCTTTTGTTTTCTCTTTTTTTATATGGACTGACTAGTCTCTCCTTCACATTCTCCAACTCCTAGTTTGTTTTAATACTTTTAGAGCTCTAACATCTGAAGCTCAAATGCTCATTGTGGTACTAGAACTCCCCTCGTGACTAGTAGAGGCTTTTTAATGGTAGCTGCTAAACTGTGGAGGGGTCTTTCTTTTTCTTTGAAGTCTTCCATAACTCACTGAAACTCTCCCAATATAGACCTGTACCTTGTTTAAATTTAATCTGTATCTTAACTCAAGAGAGTAGGAACAATTGGTCAGCCATTTCTTTGTCTTTTGCCTTTTATTAGGGCGACAGTGGCGTTGGATGTAGGAGTTTGCCCTGAAATCAAAGGGTTGACAGTTCAAGCCCCGACTCTGACTTTCAGTGTCATTGTGTCCTTGGGCAAGACACTTCACCTGCATTGTCTACTGATGGTGGTCAGAGGACCCGGTAGCGCCAGTGTACGGCAGCCCCGCTTCTGTCAGTGAGCCCCAGGGCAGCTGTGGCTACAATGTACCGGTAGCTTTCCATTATCAGTGTGTGAGTGTGTGTGTGTGTGTGTGTGTGTGTGAATTGGTGAATGAATATAGTGTAAAGCGCTTTGGTCATGTCTCCTGACTTAAATAAAGGTGCTATATAAGTACATGTCATTTTACTGTTTTTAAGCTTTTTTTTTCTAAAGCTTAAAGTTAGAGTAGATCAGGTCATCCTGAGCTATCTCTATGGTTATGCTGCTATAGGCTTAGACTGCTGGAGGGCATAGGGACCACTTTTTTATAGTTCTGCTTCATTTTGTCTCTATTCTCCCATCCTGCAGTATTTGTTAGTTCAACTTCTAACTTTATGCTCTCTGCTTTTTCTTTTTTTTTTTCTTTTTTTTTGGCTGTGACACCATCGACACCTTTGTTTATAGATGTTGAAGCTTGGCCTTTTTTTAGGGTAGCTCTGTTTCTCGTACTGTGACTAACTGTATGTGCTCTATTTCATCTTCTGACACTGGAGCTGACATCTAAGTCATCTGCCTGGCTGTATCATTCCTGGATTGGGCTACCTGTAGAACTAGTTATTAGTTAACTTTTGTATTCCTGCTTTGTCTGCTTCTTCTCCTTTCACCCCAGAAGGCCTCGGCAGATTGCCACTTACACCGAGTCTGGTTCTGCTGGAGGTTTCTTCCTGTCAAAGGGAGTTTTCCTTTCCACTCTTGCTGCATGCATGCTTGATGTGAGGGATTGCTGTCAATGAGTTGGTACTTTACAGATTGTAAGGCACCTGTAAAGTGCCTTTAGTTGACACGTGTTGTGATTTGTTGCCATATAAATAAACTTCATTAAATTGTATTAAAGTCATTTATTTTAATCACTTACTGATTTACCAGTTGTGAGACTACCTTCTTGTATTTCTACAGACGTGTAAAGCAGTTTGGGTACCATATAATATGTAAAATGGCTTTATGAATAAATGTTTTGATTTGATATTTAGACTAAAATCAGATCGAATCTTGCACTACACAATGTTTAGCATTTTAACTGCTTAGAGTCAGGTTACACAGGCTACCAGTAGTGGAAAAAAGACTTTGTACCAGAGGATTATGACATTGAAATACCACAATATTTCTTCAGAGTTATACAATATTGATTAAAAATAAATACATAAAACATTGATAAATTGAAAAGCAACAAATTGTTAGGTTTGTGAATTATAACTCAAAAAGTTTTTTCAAAGAAAGATACTTGCATTACATGGATAGTTTGTATAATCTAGTAAAAAAAAAAAAAACCGCATCATAAATAAATAAAGTAATCAAATGAATCAATTTTGTTATTTATTACCTTTTCGAAAAGATATCAGTATCATATCAATTTTTCATTACATTTCAGTTTTGGCCACCTAACATGTAGGCATCAAAATTTAAAGTGTAGGACTCAGTATTAACTCAGGATTTACTTGTCTTGACTTTAAAATTCGCTTGAGGATTTAATGTTCCACCAGGGACTTGACTCAAGACTTGACTGATTTGGGAATTGCAAAAGAATAGCAAGGCCCAGCTTTGTTTTCAGTAACCTATTATTAACATTATTCAGAGGTAAAGCAAAAAAAAGACAAATACAAAAACAGACAGACTAGATGAAAGCATATGACTCCGCATATAACTGAATTTTTGACTTCAACTTGGGGTCCCACTTCTAACCATAAACTATCTCATCATTTCCTGTAAAATATAACTTTTTGTGTGCATCACTCATTAAAATGCAAAATTGGATACAAATGGAATGCTTTCATCTTTTTCCTTTATTCAAATAGTATGTTTTCCGTTGTAATTTTGTTTGTTGCAGCAGATTTGAATGTATTCCACTTTTCCTTCCTTAACATTAAGGCAGCCTTGTCAAACAGCCTGGAGGAATTGCTGCATAGTCAGTCAAATTCCTAATTAAAA